ACAGTTTATTTACAAATAATATTGATAGTAACAATATGAAAAGTTGTGGTGTAAATTGATTGAAAGAATTAAGTTCAGATCGATATGACAAAGACGATCGTCGAACGACTGCGTAACACCTTACTGAAATCATCTGAGAATAGCGAAAACACTCCAAACATCAAAACGAATCGCTTCTCAGCGGCAGTGGCAACTGCGTTTTGTCGTTAGTTGTCAGCATTATTATTGTTTTCATACCGATATTGGTCAACGAATCAAGAGGAATCTCGTAGGAGGCACTCTTAAGGGCTCTTAACTTCTTTCCACATACCAACACAATCGGGTGTGTCGCACACCCGGTATGTGCGAGATGAAACGTTCGAATACTTTTTGCTTAGGCTGTTTTCTCACTTGTTGACGAGCATCGTGATGGGCCATAAGGTATCCTTGTTATGATTTAATGCGTTTTGTTGACAGTAGTAAAATTGTCATTGTATTATAAAATTTTAATAAGATGTTGTTCAGTTACGAAAATAAATGAAAGAATATTTTGCAGATATAAATCGATTTAAGAAAGAGAACGACGGCGGAGAGGGACGAATCGTTATAGTGAATGTGGGTTATGACGTATCGCGTGAGCAAAACTCATTGATGAACATATTCTTCAGTGCTCACAAACAAAATATCGTTGTCAGTGTTGCCGATATCGGTTAGATTTTTGTTTCATATCTGTTTTGATATCCGTTAGCATCGCGTTTGTCACTGTTGCTTCTCGCAGGTTTTTATGTTGATGTGCTTGTTTCAATAATATTTATTGTTATTGGAGGCAATTCTTCACCAGTGCTGCAACAAGCATGCGATATCACCGCAGGAAGATACTTTAAAGTGGACAAACCGAGCAACTTATTACAATATTTGATGGTATGCTATTGAATGTTCACTAAAAAATTCACATCTAAATGTACTGAATACCATAAAGTAATATCGATTTTGCTAACCTAAGCGCACAGTCATTATCTTGATAGAAACGCTGTTTATTGCTTTGTTTTCACGACTTTCTGCTGTAATTTTATTTCATTTTATTTTCATTCATTCACGGCATAAATTAATTTGTTTCTAACACCAAGCAATTATCTGAACGTCAATGACGTGAAGAGTAGTAAATGATGTCGTTCAGTGTAATGCGCTGCATTCAAGTGAAAACGTGAGTATCTTCAAGCCAGCACTCGACACCTCAGTCGACTATCGTGCGCTGTGTCAATGTCATGCCAAGCCAGTGCTTATCGGATACGTGTGTTCTGTGTGCCTGTCGGTGCAATGCAAGTTCAATCCTATTTGTCCCATGTGCAAGTTGGTTTTTGATTTCTTCAATAAATGATATTTTTTCTGTTGTTTTTCATTCTCCTGGTTCATTTAAAAATATTTATAATTTCAAGTGTTATGATATGTTTGAAAGACTCATTGCCTTAAGATTGACTCATTGCAGTACTGTCTTCAAATTAAACCTTCATAAAAGCAGTCGAAAACGGCGACATCACACTCAATCGACTTCGTAATTTACTCGTGATATTTTCATAAATATTATTATGTTGTGAAGTTGTTCATTGTTTGTATATTCGTCTCAGTTATAAATTTTCAAGGAATGTTCCAAATATACTCTTACATATAAGCGGCGTTGTTAGTGGCACTGTGACGATAATGAAATAGTAAATGAATGAATAAAGAAGATAGCATAACTTGTTAAATGCGCAAGTGGGATGGATGACAGTAACGTATGCGTTGATCACTTTTTTAAATGCAGCAATACCTGAATATGAAATGTATAAAATAGATCATTTACATAGAATACACATGTATGTTTAAGCCTCGCATGATTGAGACTTTTTTTTGTGACATCCGACACACGGTTAGCTTCTGAATTCGTCTGATGCATGTAACGATGCGAGCATTGTCGACGACTTCCGCGTAATCTGAGAATTTTTGATAGAATCTTATCATATGTTGTTGTTTTTTTTTTTGGATGTTACTGCATAGAAGAGAATGAAAGTAAACGAAAACAACATTCGTCGCTCAACTTTACAGTTGGCCATGCACCGTAACGAGACACCGCGAGAGACTAGCCAGAGATATGTTTTGAAGGCACTGTTGCTGTTTTGCTCGCGAAACGTTAACAGCGAGCAAAAATTTTTCTAAGTCCAAGATCTCTCATATGAATGCCACTGTCTGCGTCCATTGATTACATCGCATCTCTGTTTTATTGTATTTCGTCTCGCCCTCTCTCTCATTTGTGTCGTACTACAATTTCATTTCGCGTCTACTCAGCTGCATTATTTCTCCTGGTGAATGCATTGAGGTGAACATTATGACACGAGTTTTGGTTTATGATTTTTGGTGGCCCTAAAGAGGGCCGTTTGGTTTAAGATCCGCTGTTCCTGCCCCATTTCATATGGGGTACATTTCTGCGATTTGCTGCCACAAGTTGTACAAGCAGTCGTTCCCTCCAAATTCTCTTTTCCAAACGAATTCTTCCACATAGCTCGCCAATAACCCGCGATCGGTGCCGAACCTCGATTTGTGTTTCATCTTGAATTTTTGCCACATCGACTCCACTCCGTTTGTACACGCCCCAGTGTCCGGATCCACAAAATGCTTGGAGTGGTTAACCGTCTCGTGGTGATACTTGACTGGCAATTTTTTGATACCACCATATGCCGACCATAGATCGGACACAATGGTGGTACCCGGCAAAACTTTATCGATGATGATCGGTAGAACCAACCACCTTCCTGCAGCCTTCCATTCTACAACCGTAAACCCTACTTCGTCCACATCTCGTCATCTTCATCTCTCCACCACACTCACAGGCAAGAACAGCATTTCTGCCGTGCATCAAACCAAGTGATGCAAACCATTCTTCGAACTCCTCGTCGTCCATAGCGCATTTGGTAAGAACGTCGCTAAACGTGAATCCACGAAGTTGCTCCATAACGTCGCACGAAAACTGATGTTTCCATAGCTTCCGAAAGCTTTATATAGTAACCTAAGCAAACCATAAAACCATAAAACCAGACCCCGAGGTCCTCATTAATTTCTTCTTTACTATAACCGATTTCTGTAAAACAGATTCCTTCACTATGACGGATTACTGTAATCTTCGTGAATCAATTGAACGATGCTTTCTGAGCATACGTAATCACTAATAATTCTGTTGCATTGCATAGTGTTTATACTATCTCCAATTTGTCGTTCTCTCTGTCTCTCCATCATCTCCATTCAAAAAACTCTCTCAGCCGTCAGACGGATATAGTGAGCGATACACGCGATGTTCGTAATGGAAGCAGACGGAAAAGTGCTAAGAGAGAGCGTTCTCTTTCGGACTTAGAAAAATTTTTGCTCGCTGTTAACGTTTCGCGAGCAAAACAGCAACAGTGCCGTTTTGAAATGAAGTACTCGTCGAATTTGCGAGAGTCTTTGGTTATATTGCTGAGTGGTTTTCGTTGTGCGGTTGGTTACATTACCTGGGCTAGAATGTTCTCAGGTGATGATCTAATGATGAGATTTAGTGTTGCGCAGTGGGCGTGGCCTCGTCGTTTCCCACTAGTAAGGATGCACTACGCTTGAGCTGTTTAAGACTGCCCTCTTAAACAGCTTAAACAAGCGTAAGCTCTCCTTACACAGGCTGAGGCTACGTTCAGCCCTAGCCTAACGTGTAATGGCAAAGAAACTGCAGTGAAAGTACGTTAGTTTTGTGGTGGTGGTGGTGGTAGTTTAAGATGCAATTCATTCTTTTTTCTCTCAATGCTTTAGGAGTTGCCATCTTCGAACCTACCGTACTTCGAAAGCCGAGACACCTTTGATTGTTCTGGCCATGTTCAGATGGTTTCCCGCAATTTCCGATTTTTGAATTTTGTCGTTCAGACCATTTGAACGGTGTGTTGTTGAATTGTAATTATTGTTGATATGTAATTTTATGCGATGAATATTTGTACTGTTGGTGTTTCTTGAAACTTGAATGGGTTTTTCTTATAGATAATGGTGAATTTACGAACTCGTAGAAACCGACCAAGGTTGACCATCCGAGGCGTGATGACCGTCATTGACGATGTTGCAGACGACTGCAACGATTACGTGGTAGGTTTTGTGCATTGAATCGATAAACATTCATTTATTTTGTTAAGACGAAAATCGATATAAGAACAGTATTCTAGCTAATTTCCGTGGCGCACTATCGAAGTGTTGTAAGACTGAATTTATGAAAGAATACGTATTTTGCAAATGTTTGAGAAAAAATCGTATCCCACCAGTTAGATGTTATATCGAATTTTATAGTCTTAATCTGAGTTTCATCAGTGATCCTGTTCTAAGGAATGGGTGTACGGTGTGCTCATTGAATGGAACTGTTATATGCGAGGTGAAAATAAATGCGATGTTTCGCATCGATATACATTTCACGTTTTCAGGAAAATAAGCAGGTATGGGCTGAATTGGGATTAGGTTCAGAAGAAGATGATGAATACGCTGGAGAGGACTTCCATTTAACTCATTATTGGGAAGCACCAGATGAACGAAGAAAACAGAAAAGGATAAATAAACGGAAGAACGAAAAAGCAATCGATGAACCTGATCTGTCTGCCTCCGCATTTCCAGATGCACACTACAGAAGTCTTCTGGCCGATGTATGAATGCTTTTTTATTCTGAATATCTTCACTCTGAAATTATCTGTAAATGATGATTTTACGTGTTGATCACTTTGCTGACGTTCTTTACAGTGATGATTACTTGTGATTTTTTGCACAAAACTGCCCGAAACATTTCGGAAAGAGTGATAAAAACAGTGAATTTCTTTTCGGTGGAGATGAAAATTGCTCGTTTGTTCGTTCAGTTTTTTGCAGTCGATTTTTTTTNTTTTTTTTCAGATAAACTCTGCTGAAAACTATTCATTAGTCATAGAAGGAGTCAATGACTCGCCAGCTGGTGGTTCGTTTTGCATTATTGTCTTCAGTTACTTTGGCTTTTCTTACTTCTTGCATTCGATTCCGTGAAGCCAGAGAAGATTCTCGTTGTTCTCTGCAATGCTTTGAAGTAATTTTTAATCTATTAACGACTTTTGCTTCCGTTCAGGTGCTGTAGTTCCATCGAAAAGCGTCAGCTCAATTGAATCTCAGAGGCAGCAATCGTCAATCGCAACCCATTACCAAGCCAGAGATCCCACAGATGTGCCACCTCTGCCCGATCGATGCTCTTTCCCATCGCCGTCTCTGTCGTGTTCATCACGAAGCGGTTCATCTTCAGAGATCGCCCCAATTATCATGGAATTAGATGGCACCGCATCTGAAGCAGCAAATAGAACTTCGCAACAGTTGGATCGATTATCAGTAGAACGGCGAACGGCATCATCATCAACTGAAAATGATCATCTGAATCGGTCAGCCAAATCGGTACCGGTTCAGCCAGTGATGGACCAAACATCTTCATTGCACGATCAGATATCAGTTCTACGTGACGTTACATCAGCCTCAACAAATGTGAGCTTTTATCAGAAGAGTCAAAAGCTGAACGTTGTGGATGAATCCGACCAAATGCAATTTTCATCGGAAGAAATCATACGAGGCACCTTGCGACCATCACTTCGCACGTCTGAGCTTCTACCATTCGCTACATCAACACCACTGCGTGTAATACATTTTTTTTGAATTGTTTGGAATCTTTCAAAGTCTCTAAAATTAAAAGATTTCTTTTCGAAGGCTTGTTTCTTTGCTTTTTTTGTTGATCACTGCAGCAGTGTTTTTATTCTAGCTTTCCTTATTAAGACGGCACTTTAAAAAATGCCTCACATCAAAACAATTCCTCATTCCAGCCAGATGTTGCACTATCAAGCCAGTTTGCATCGCTAAGAAGTCAGTACGATTCACCCCTTGCAGTACATCAACCATCTCATAGTCAGATTGATATTTCGTCATCTTCACAACAAAAACAGGATGATAATGAAATATCTGCTGAAACGTATGTCTTATGTGTTACTTTTAATTTTTCCTTCTCTACCTCAGTCCGGTTTTCGAACTTCCTTAGCTTGTTTTCCGTCAGCTATTGGTTCGATGTAGTGATTCATATGAAACACAGTCGTTGAATTGTTCACATCGATTCTAACAATTCATTCAGGTCACTCACTGAAAATACTCTATGGAGATCGACATCGTTGCACAACAACTCAATTATCCGTACATCCGCTTATTGGAAACTTGCAGAGGTAGAACGCTCTAAACGACTGACCATGTTTCCAGATGACAGACCGAACGAAAGAGAAGGTTGTTTTCACGTTCTCATTATTAGTTCTCGTTTTCAAAAAAAATATTTCTGTCATGAATAAAGTCCTCTTTCATCAATGAGATACTGATTTGACAATTGATGGTCAATGATGGGCTTGCTACTGAAAAATGTAGTGGCGTTAGTCGTTAGTTACTTCGCCTGAAAAATATTTTGGTTTCGATAAAAATGATCCAGCAGTAGCACAGCTGACGAAAATCGTTACTTCACTAATTGAAAAAAAGTGGGGCAATTTTCGCAAAAATGTTAATGTGCAGAAATTAATCCGCGAATTGCTCGTCTCAAATCTTGCTTCAAAATTCGCAGTTGCGCTACTGATTTGTCATGGGAAAACCGTCTTTTGGAGTGTGTCGTAATTTTTTCTTTGTTATTTCAGATACATCACGCAATTTGTCGATATATGAGGAAGATCCGGTACATTGATTTTTCTTAATTTTACCACTGGTTCCGTTCTCCGTTCAGGGGTCTCCTTAGAGAAATGATTTGAAAAGGATGCCATAAAATTGAGGTCTTGCATTCTCTGTGAACGTAACGAAACGAATATTCTACAAAATTGGCAGAATTCAATATTGTTTAGTCGTTTCTTTACTGTTCAAATTTTGTGATACGACGATTGAGTGTGTATTCATGATAGGATCGTGCACCATTTTTCCTGAACGAGTTCAATGAATGGTCGAAGAAGTATGCAAGAGCAAGAGACTTCAAGCGTGAAGTTCTCTTCCTGTGCGGGCAAAAAGCGCCCATTCAATGGACTTCAATCAAAAAATTTTTGTAAGTTGCTTCTAATATGTGCTTAACTTTTAAAAGCTGATTTTGAGTCTTTCTAAGGCTACTTTCAACTCGTACGTCATTGAGTTATTATTATTTTCTTTCATTTGAGGAATATCAGCTCTGCAAAAAAACTCGGCGAAGGTACTTATGGAGAGGTGTTCAGTGCAACGTGCAATGGCAAAGAAACTGCAGTGAAAGTACGTTAGTTTTGTGGTGGTGGTGCTTTGAGATGCAATTCGTTTTTGCTTGCATTCCTTTAAAATGAAGCAATCGTGTGACATTCAAATAGGAAATTTTTTGGTGATGAATTCAAGAATTATTAGTTGTTTCATTTAATGTCTTCTTTTATTTATGACAGAACCAAATGACAGAAAGTCGTTTTTGGTTTCATTTATTATAAACCAAAAATGATGGTCATCAAATTCTCTGATTGATTAGTCAAAAGTATCTGGTTTATATATCAGCATTTATTTGAATAGATTATTCCAATTGACGGTTCAACTCTGTTGGCTGATGGTCAACGTCAAAACGAATATGCTGAAGTGCAGTTGGAAATAGTCGTTTCGAAGGAATTGTCCGAGTTGGCCGTGGAGGATGGTGGCTACAGCACTGAGGGCTTTATCAAACTACTCAATTGTTGCATTACGAAAGGTTTGAAATTATTTTTGTTCAAAACGAATCATAAGTTAATTGTCCTCACAATATCTCCTTTGTAACATTGTCTCGAATCCAAATTCATTGTATTGACCAATTAATTTCTTGGAGATTTCCTTCAAGCCCGGTCACAGTCAGTGTATGCATTATGCAGTCGATTGTTCAACTTGATTAATTCAGGAAAATATCCGAAGAAGCTGTTATCGGCGTGGGACAGCTATGCAAACGAACGCGATTCGTACAATTTGAATCCTGAGGCGTTCCCGGCTAGTCAGTGTTATTGTGTATTAGCGTTCGAATTGGGTGGAAGGGACCTCGAGGTTTACGATGTGAGTTCGGTTTTTTCATTGTTAATATCGCATTTCTGTTGTTTACTTTTGCTGCTTTTAGCATTTCATTATTTCTAATCACTGAGTACCATCAATCGCTGAGTGTTAATGTCATTAGTTGTCTTTGCTGAATGAGTTATATCTTATATGCTGCTCCATTTCTGTCATCATTTTGTGTTTATCTGAAAACTACGCAATAATATTTTAATGAACATGTGCTTCAAGGTTCGATCGATAGAAGTGGCCTATTCGATAATGGTTCAAATAATAACTGCGCTAGCCGTTGCCGAGGATCGTCTTCAGTACGAACACCGCGATCTGCATGTCGGCAACGTTCTTGTATCGGAGGGCAGTGATCACCAGTTGAGAACGTTCGTTCGTCCGTTGTTTCACTCATCAGTTTCTTTTACTTACAAAGATGTGTGACCATTTTACAAACATACAACTTTATTAATGGATTCATCTATTTTTCTTTCTTCTCTATTTCTCCATTATTTGAAAATTTTTTATTACTGAATTTAGTTCATTTAACGACCGTCACAAATCGCATTTCTGTTGTTTATTCATTACTTTTTAGTCAGAATTATTAGCTGTTCACAAGCTGTATACGCAATTTTACCACTAAGCAATATTGTAATTTTTGCTGAAAACTGGTCAGGAATTTTGCTTAAGATTCTCAGGTATCCTAGGAAGTAGTATGAAGACCGAAGAGTCATGTCATAAAATCGCATTTTGAGGTGACTCGCTGAGAAATTTTGGTTTTGTAGGACGAATTGAAAGAACGGCAGTTCTGATTTAATGTCATCGTATGTAAATTTTCATTTCAGTGAATTAATCTCATCACAAAAAGTGCAAATTAAAATGTGTGGCGTTTCTGTGAAGATCATCGATTTTACGTTATCGAGACTGAAGAAAGGTGAGCAGTGACTTTGATTAATAGTTTGAGTCAATTGAACTTCATTTTAAAGGCTAATTATCTCATTCTTATCTCTTCTGATGTGGTAACCAATTTGCTCACTCAGATATGTGGAAGCTCCACACATTTTACTTGATTCCTATGTTCAGGTAGAACGACAATATTCAGAGAATTGGCCAATGAAGAAGATCTGTTCACTGGTGAGGGCGATCTTCAGTTCGACATTTATCGTCTTATGAAAAAAGCAAACAGGTAAGCAGTTGTTTTTGCTCTTAACTAATCAAGATGTCTGCTTGAAAGCAATTGAACGCAGATAAATATTCATTTATTTCTTGCACGGTTTTTACTCTGAATTTTTTTTCGGATTTAAAAAGATTCATTGGCGTGCTTACAATTAGAGTGTTTTCGATTCACAGCCGTTTATTGCAGGAATAATTGGGCTGTGTTCAACCCAAAAACGAATATTATGTGGTTAGTGTATCTGTCACGCTTCATTCATCAAAAAATGGTCGAAAATGTTGTTGGCGCAGAGGATGAACGAGAACGTTTCTTGCGATTGTTTCAGTCTTTGCACAGATTTGGTTTGTTTATTTCTTTATTTGCTGTCTAATTGTTTTGTTCGTTTAGCCAAAAAGCTGACTT